CTATAAATAAACATTGAAGTGTACCATCATCATTATTGAATTAAGATTAACCAAATCTAAACATTTAGGTTTTAAAGGTCTCCCCCATACACAAAGGGAGGGGAGGGAATAGAGGAGGCAGATTGCCTAAAACACAAAGCACATACACGCTCTCCATGGTTGCTTCTACAAACTTAAAGTTAGTGTTATTAACGCATTTTGAAATGATCCCAAGTCAAAAAAGTAACCAGGTGCTTGACATTTCCTTATTAAAGCAGCTAAAGGAAATATCAAGGAGTGAAGAGTAAGGTCTTTTCTAATGACACAAACTAAGCAACTTAGAACATTCTAAAATCTGCATATGGGATTAACACAATAATTTCTCTTGAAAAGGAATAGGAACTAAAATAATTAAGCATACCTGGGCATTATAACTCCGAAGACCCACAACAGGAGATACTATACAAGAATTCGAGCTAGTGTAATCATATTTGACACTCCTACGAACCAGATGGCCAAGTGAATGATAAGTCAAAAATGCTGCACGAAGATTTCCATCTGGTATCCTGTAAATTGGATACCATGCGACAGAGTACCTGAAATAGATTCAATTAGGAGTTTTATGTCTCTTAGTGCACTTTCCAATTTATCAAACTTTTTACTCATTATCATTGCAAAATTTATGAAACCCAATGAAAGTTCTTTTGTTTATTGAAAAAAGGATGGTACCATATCTGAGGCATTTTCATGATTACCAGGATCTAGGATGCAAATCATGCAGATACATAGAGTTTAGATTAACAGGATCTCCATGCATTTTGCTCTGTGAAGGCACGATGCCACCAACCAGCTCTTGTATCCTGTAACAGAATCAAAATCATGATCCATAGGAGAATGAAATTCAAATACAACAGAACTAGTTCCATTCTCTGTCATTCATAGTTGCAAATAAAGATGCTACAATTTATAGAAGGAAAATGAATCGTGTCTCATACACCCATTTTTTGTCTCTTTCCTTCAAAATCACTCATTCATGGAAGTGAATTTGTGAAAGGATTTCATATAGACTTGCCTTAATACTATTATTCTATAAGGTAAGCACCATAACTTAAAGTGATGGATGGTAGTAAACCCCTATGCTATCACAAGAAGAATTGAAAACAAGAATAAGAAGAAAAACAATAAGAAAGAAGCATACCAAAGAAGTTTTGCACAAAAGAAGTTCTCTATTTTAATCATTATGGTTCATTTCGAAGCAAGAGCACCTAGATCTTGATTAGTCATGAAATATGAGGCAGGACATTAGAAACAAACCAAAATAGTTGTGTATTTCACTTTAAGGTGTTCACCATGCAATCTTAAAGAATTATTTGCACTTCCATCCAGTAAAAAGGTAAGTGAATAGAGGGTAGGGTTGCAAGAAAAAGTGATATGAATTTATAACATATACCTAATATTAATAGTATGGTATCATACAGCTAGTATATATAATAAGGCCTAATCAATGCAAAGAGATATGGCTCAAAATTTTGAAACATAATACCCTTCAAGTTTGCTCTGTTAGGAGAAAGAAAAGAATAATGTTGTTAAGCTTGATTAAACTCTTGAAATGAAATAACAAAAAGAACCCTCATCTCCTCTATGTTCACGCCAACCCTTTATGTCATATGTTTACGTATCTAAATTCTCTTTTCAATTTCTCACAAGAGAGAGAGAAAAGAGAGAAATTTCTAAATAATTGTCTTCTTCCAAAAATTGAATCATTAAGACTCAATCTTTAGGTGATAGCCTCAACAATGTATCACAATGCCAATTCGGCACCACAACAACTACAACAATCATTTATTGCAACTGAGACATTCATGAAAAAAGACACTAAATTCAATCCAAAAACCAATAAATCATTATTGTTCTTCCATGAATAATGCCAGAACTACTACAATCTCTAACCAAGCGTAAGAACCACTGTTATGATATGGAATTCAACAACAATTTAAGGGCGAAAATCGAAGGCTGAAAAGTAGGTCAAAAATTCTCATCCCTTGATCTTGTGGACCTCTGTGTGATTCATAACATGATCAACAACCGAAAACATTTCAACCTACTTTTTGGCCTTCGATTTTTAGCCCAAAAATTAATTTTCTATAAAATTTACTTCAAGGTTCATAAGTTATTTTAGCAAGCAGAAGTCATGTTAGGTCAAATTATGACATCACATAACAAATGTTAAATAAATTTTGTTTTATGTCAAAAAAGAGTCAAACAATCAAATCCCCATTGCATATCTTACAGGTAAAAGTCTACATAATCCTTGAAATTTAAAAGTCTAAATAGCACAAATTTGACATTGGAGGAAGAATACTTATATATCTCTTTAGAATGAAGGAAGAAAAGTGAGGATTTTAAAGAAAAATGGTGGTTGTAGGAGAACATAGCAGAATGTCTTAGATTTATCAAGGAAAAGGTGGAAAATGGAAAAAAGATCAACTGGAATAGGAAGCACCAGAAGGAATATGGGACAAAGATAACTGGAAATTAAAGGAAATGAGATTATATTTTCATGTCAGTACAAATCATGTCAAAGTTAATTACCCCTTTTTTTCTTAATGGAATATACCACATCTTGAGCATAATTATCAAATTTTGAACATAAGTCTCACTTTTATTTAGGCATAAACACAATTGGTAAACGTGTAAAAGCTAACAACAATAATATCTGATGAAAAGAAACTTACTTATCATATAATGGTCGTCTTTGTTGAGGCTGTTCAGATTCAAAATACTCAAAAAGTAGCTCTAGCTTATTAGAACATGTCATGTCAACTGCTTCAACAGATAACTCATCATTTGCAGAGACAGAGGATTGTTCTGATTTATCCACATTATCCAGTCGATGAAAAAAAGGGAGAGCACTTGTGTCTGAAGTGTGTGGCTTTGGAAAAAGTTCTGAAAAAATCAGGAGCTCTTTCATATTAGAAGAGTTTCCTAACATAGAACTAGTCTCACAAGACTCAGAAACCCAAGGCGAAGAAACCAGATTGTCATTGTTCATAGAATGACTTTCACAATTCCTAAAGAGCTGAACAGCAGACAAGAAAGGTACAAAGTAGGCACGAAATGCAAAACGGTCAACACCCAATCGTTTCATATTTGTGAAATCCTCCACCCTTATTTCTAATCCATAACTGCCATGTTTCTCATACCACTGCCACAAGCATCCCAATAGAACATTAGGTGTCTCATGTCTACACAATAAAGCATTAGAAACTTGGTCTTGTAAGCAATTTTGACAGCTTGCTGAATAAAGTGAATGAGAAACAACTGGAGAACAAAAATGAAGAAGCCTCTCGAACTCAGCAATGGGACCACCAGTGGCCATCTGAACAGCTTCAGAGGCCATTTGTGCCCTACAGGCATCATTCACTGCTCTTGCTATCTCATTCAAATCAGTTTCATGTGCCAAAAAAGTTTTATCAGTAGAACAGCTTGTCAAGAAACTAACCCCAACTTGCTTATCATTGTTGTATTTTATTGAGCATGCACCAGGATTTCCATGATCTTCATCTTCATAAGAACTACATACATTTGATGAACCTTTCTCAACGCACATCATTCTAGCATTCAATGAAGAAACAAGTTCTTTAGAAGTCAAAGCTACTTCGTGATCAGCAGTATTTCTTGAGGTACAATCCTCAGTGTCTAGCCTATTAGAAAGTTCCTTGACCCTAATAGGTATCCATTTCTGCAGAATGGAACCAGAACTAGGATTTTGCTTACTATTTTCTGCAAGAGAAATTTCTTTTTCCATTGGAACAACATCCTTAAATAAAAGATGAGGGAAATAAACCAGAGAAGGAACCTGAAGCATGTTTTGTGGGTCCAAAGAGACACATGATTTTGTTTGTGAGCTACCTTGATTTCCTACGCTCTGACCATTTGTACCAGATACAATATTGCAGACTCTTCCAGCTAACTCCAAATTGTCAGAACAGACTTTTGATTGGTTAACTGTTTCAAAATTCATGCATTCATCTTTGCTGGCCATGACCTCAACCCCCATAGAACCAATCTGAGAGCATGACTTTGAAATATTGTTCACTCTTTTTTGGCAATTTAGAGAAGTTGGTACAGTCAATGAATTAATTGGCACACTAGATGATGCAACTGAGTTCACCTTATTTAAGTGGGGACCCTTCCTGGAAAAACAAATGTTCTTTTGTTTCAAAACTCGACTAACTTTTCTTTTCAGCTTCCGAGGAGTCTTATCTTTCAACTGTTTTTTATCATCAGATCTTGATAATGAAGTTCCTTCTGCAGCATTGCAATTTCTTTTCAGCAAAGAAGCCCTTTTGAATTGAACATCTAACTGTGAGCAAACCGGACTTGTTTTCTTCAACTTAGCATTGCATTCATCCACACCATTCCTTTGAACCTTTTTCCATATAGAATGATTGTTCTCCTTCCCTGTACAACCATGTGAGTTCCCACTATTTCCATGTTTATGACTACTTGAATTCCTCAGAACAGTTTTATACTTCTTACCCTTCTTGCACGGAGTAACCACCTGAACATCTACACTACTTAACCCCTGACCACCATTCTTTATGTGGTCAGTGTAATCATAGGTATCTACAACACTACCTAATAATTTCCTTTGAGAGGAATGTCCCTTTTTGATATTGAAAATTTTCAAGTCTGATTTACCAACTTCATGGCTGTTGTCATCGAACAATCTGACGTTATGACCAACAAAAGTGCTTTCATCATTGTTTGAAACAGAAGAAACTGAATTTTGCACTCCAGAATCAACATGGAAGCCAGCCTGTAAAGGATGTGCCTTCTCAACACCTTCATGAAACATGGGAAAAGTCTGATCTTGTCTTTCCATGCCAATTTCAGAATTAATTAAGGGGCGCCCCACAAGAAAAGTGTCTAGTCTGCAAGGGACCACAACCTCTGATATGACCACTTCATCTGAGTTTGATGTGAACACATTAGGGTCTTCATAACTATAAACACCATTTTTTTTGTCTTGAAAATCAGTTATGTCAAATATATATTCAGGGGATGAAACTTTAAGTGAAATTGCAGATGACATCACTCCATCCCTATGACTTGCATCATTGTCACCATAGATTTCAGAGGTTGAACTTCCAAGTGCATAATCACAAGAAACTTCTGGTATGTTGGAACTAGCATCACATAAATGTTTCCTATTCTGTTTTCCTTTCATTCTGGCCTTCTTTCTTGAATTTCTCTTTACAGCCTTATCTTCTTTGGAAGGATCAACCAACACACTAGATGAATTACTACCATTAGATCTTTTTGGTATAAAAGTAGAGGAATCATTGAAAGTGATGAAACTCTGACAAGAAGAATTGACAGAGAATTTGCTCAATTTTGATGCTTTATTTACCATGGCCCTGTTGTGAAATTGATGTCTCACATTAGATCCAGTAAAGCTTCTAGCGTTAAATGGCTTTACAGAATGAGTAACATCAGGTGGAGGCTTTTTTTGTATCTTTCGTCCACCAACCTTGAATGAATTAAAAGCTGTAGGGGAAACCATATGCAGACTACCCATATTCACCTGCACTTCAGATTCCAAATGATTGGTTGGATGAGAATGTTACACAGGTAGTGCAAAAGTTCCACAGTGTGCACCAGATTCAAGCGTAATGAATGTCAAAGCAGCACTTCTAAAAAAATTAACAGTGAATACACAAAATCGTAACACCAAAATAATATTGCTAAAAATTAAATGCAAATGCAAGTGATATTACACATCAGAAAATAAGAGAGTAAAATTATAAACATCCAGCTATCAACACTCCTTCTGTAGTTTCGGCAATCCAGTACTGCAACAGTCACTTCTAAAATATTTCCTTAAGGAAATGCTAAAATGTGAGTACTAGACGTATGCAAAAGCTGAGAGTTCTTAAGCATTCAGGGAAGTCATGTTATTAAAATATTCAAAGTAAGAGCTTTAATATAGGATGTCATAAATTAATGACTAAATCTGTCCATGTAAACTGAAAATGAAATCCTTCCCTCAAGCAAACATGCCCTTCAATAACCAAATACAGATCTAACAACCAAAACCAGCTTACCTCTGATCAATTTTCCTCAAATCTAGATAAGAAATTTTAGCATCCTGAAAAATTGACAAATGATAATAGAAATAAAGTCCAAAAATACCTAAGCCAACCTTAAATGTCAAAATTAATAAATAAATAAATAAAAAATCAAATACTTACTTTAATAAAATATATTCTGACCTTTTGAAATTATTTTCGAAGTATCGAGCAGGAAACACTTCCTAGATAAGTTAACTTCTCCTACCTCCAAAAATTTCTTATTATTATGATGGGTTCTTCTAAAGCCACAGTGCATCTTTGCCTGTGTCTGTAGACATCAATTGCAAAGAAATAAGGACATGAAGGATATCCATACAGAGTGTTTAAAAAGATTTACTTAATAAAAATAAAAATTAAGGCTAGAACTATTCCAAGACAACCAAAATCTAGCTAGAAAATGAATGGAACAAAATAAATGGTATCAACAATTAAGATTTAAGAGTCCCCCAACGAAACCAGAATAAAAAAACAAATGAGGCCTACAATAACCATTAAAACAATCACATTTTTTGTTTGGGCAAGCAATATTAGAAAATTAAATTCAATAGACAAACCAAAATGCAAGAGAAAAAAGAGAAAACACAAAGGAAGAAAGAAATTGTGAATCCAAATTCAAAGTAATTGAAGATTGAACTTACCGGAAACCATGCAAAAGATCAAAAGAACCCATCGAAGGATACCATTGTTTGATCTTTTAAACAAAAATTTGATCTTATAAATAAAAATAGAGATGGCCAAAAAAAAATTTTTTTTTGAATAGAAAAAAAGGGAATGACTCCTGCAATTTCAATTAGACAACAGAAATTCAAAAGTGTGTGTGCATACCATTCTTTTACCATAACTTTTGATTGATTGGAGAAGAAAGTTCTAAATTTGACTAGAACCCAGATATAATCGTGTCCCGAAATTCTCTCCGGTCTCCAAGAAAAAAAAAGGGTTCCCCAAATTTAGCTATGAGGTACAGATACAGCCACTATATTTAACCAGTAACAGTGAACAAACAGGAACTTACCCAGATAGCATACATCACCATCCAATCCATACAGAGAAAGATAAGAGAAAAAGAAAAGGAAAAAAAAAAATATATCTGCAACAATTCCAGCAAGAGAAACAAACCTTAGGAAATTGTTCTTCTTTGTTTCGTGGGTGTGTGTTTAATTCCAGACGTCTAATTTCCTGTTGTATCCGTGTCATCTTCTTCGTGTCTCCAGTGTTGCTGGAAAATGGAAAACCTGCTCTACCTCTACGTGGTTTCCTTCCTGGAAACAAAACTAACGTTAGCTAACCATTCACGGTAAGAAATTGGAGACGGTTGAAGACAGAGTGGTGTGGATGATGTTTTTTCTGGAAAATTTCTAGGTTTAATATGTTATATTATGACAATGTTGGAACTTTAAATTAAGTTTGTGACATGGTGCTGCTCCCCCAGTCAGTATGCTTGCAATGCAAGCATGACGCAAAAGAAGTTTATCAAGGATTTTCCGAACGTTTAGACCATATTCAGTTATACATGAATTTTTTTATTTTAACAAAATAAATTTTCATGGGTTATAATTTTGTTGTTTAGAATATATTAAATTATAAAATTAAGATCCTTAGATAGAGAGGGAGGTCTAATATCAGATGATTTTACCATAATTTAAGATAATTATTTTATAATTTGATATAATTTAAATTATAAAATAATTTTTTGAATTTTTATTTATCAAATAATATCATATAGTATTTACCTTATTACACAGGAAAAAAATCTTATCTCAATAGACTTGACAAACAAATAAAATTAAGTGAATTTAAATTAAATTATTTTGAATTTCAAATTTACTGATATAAGTAATTTTGAATTTCAAGTTAAAATGGTAAATAATAGCCACCCACATAGACCTTAAATTAGGTTGAGTGAACTTAATTTTTTAAAAATATAAGTTAAAATTAAAAAGTTTAGTATTTTCTCAAAATTTTTAATAAGATTTTAATATTAATTAATTATCTAATAAAAATTTTATTAAA